TTGGCATGGCAATCCTTAAATCAGATAAACTAGATTTTAAGCCAAAGACTATAATAATACCTGAGGAAGGATGCTATATCATAATCAAAGGGTCTGTCCAACAAGGAGATCTAACAATTTTAAATATCTATGCCCCTAACGTGGGAGCAGCCAACTATATAAACCAATTAATAACAAAATCAAAGAAACACATTGACCATAATACAATAATAGTAGGGGAAGTTAACACCCCCCTCATTGAAATGGACAGATCATCCAAGCAAAAGATCAACAAGGAAATAAAAGCCTTAAATGACACACTGGACCAGATGGATATCACAGATATATTCAGAACATTCCATTCCAAAGCAACAGAACACACATTTTTCTCTAGTGCACATGGAACATTCTCCAGAATAGATCACATCCTGGGCCACAAATCAGGTCTCAACCAGTACCAAAATATTGGGATCATTCCTTGCATATTTTCAGACCACAATACTCTGAAACTAGAACTCAATCACAATAGGAAATTTGGAAAGAACCCAAATACATGGAAGCTAAAGAGCATCCTTCTAAAGAATGAATGGGTCAACCAGGAAATTAAAGAAGAATGGAAAAATTCATGGAAACAAATGATAATGAAAACACAACAGTTCAAAATCTGTGGGACACAGTACTGAGAGGAAAATATATAGTGATACAAGCCTTTATCAAGAAAAAAGGTCTCAAATAAACAACCTAACCCTAAACCTAAGGGAGCTGGAGAAAGAACAAAAAAGAAAGCCTAAACCCAGCAGGGGGAGAAATAATAACAATCAGAGCAGAAATCAATGAAACAGAAACAAACAAACAAACAAACAAAAAAACAAATATACGAAACTAGGAGCTTGTTCTTTAAAAGAATTAATAAGATTGATAACCCCCTGGCCAGACTTATCAAAAAGAAAAGAGAAAGGACCCAAATAAATAAAACCATGAATGAAAGAGGAGAGATCACAACCAATGCCAAAGAAATAAAAACAATTATAAGAACATATTATGAGCAACTATACGTCAGCAAATTTGACAATCTGGAAGAAACAGATGTATTCCTAGAGACATATAAACTACCACAACTGAACCAGAAAGAAATAGAAAACCTCAACAGACCCATAACCAGTAAGGAGATTGAAGCAATCATCAAAAATCTCCCAACAAACAAGAGCTGAAGGCCAGATGGCTTCCCTGGGGATTCTACCAAGCATTTAAAGAAGAATTAATTCCTAGTCTCTTGAAACTTTTCCAAAAAGTAGAAATGGAAGGAAAACTTCCAAACTCATTTTATGAGGCCAGCATTATCTTGATCCCAAAACCAGACAAAGACCCCATCAAAAAGGAGAATTACAGACCAATATCCTTGGTGAACACAGATGCAAAAATTCTCACCAAAATACTAGCCAATGGGATCCGACAGTACATTAAAAGGATTATTCACCATGACCAAGTGGGATTTATTCCTGGGCTGCAAGGTTGGTTCAACATCTGCAAATCAATCAATGAGATACAATACATTAATAAAAGAAAGAACAAGAACCATATGATAATCTCAATAGATGTTGAAAAAACATTTGACAAAGTACAGCATCCTTTCTTGATCAAAACCGTTTAAAGTGTAGGGATAGAGGATACATACCCCAATATCATCAAGGCCATCTATGAAAAGCCCACAGCAAATATCATTCTCAATGGAGAAAAACTGAGAGCTTTTCTGCTAAGGTCAGGAACATGGCAGGGATGTCCATTATCATCACTGCTATTCAACATACTACTGGAATTCCTAGCCTCAGCAATCAGACAACAAAAAGAAATTAAAGGCATCCAAATCAGCAAAGAAGTAGTCAAACTCTCACTGTTTGCAGATGATATACTTTATGTGGAAAACTCAAAAGACTCCACTCCAAATCTGCTAGAACTTGTACAGGAATTCAGTAAAGTATCAGGATATAAAATCAATGCACAGAAATCAGTTGCATTTCTATACACCAAAAGCAAGACAGAAGAAAGAGAAATTAAGGAAATTAAGGAGTCAATATCACTTACAACTGCACCCAAAACCTATAAAGAACTTATCAAACCCAACACCCAAAGAACAAATAATCCAATCAAGAAATGGGCAGAGGACATGAACAGACATTTTTGCAAAGAAGACACCCAAATGGCCAATAGACACATGAAAAAGTGCTCCACATCACTTGGCATCAGGGAACTACAAATCAAAACCACAATGAGATACCACCTCACACCAGTCAGAATGGCTAAAATTAACAAGTCAGGAAATGACAGATGCTGGCGAGGATGTGGAGAAGGGAACCCTCCTACACTTTGGTGGGAATGCAAGCGGGTGCAACCACTCTGGAAAACAGCATGGAGATTCCTCAAAAAGTTGAAAATAGAGCTACTCTATGACTCAGCAATTGCACTACTGGGTATTTATCCTAAAGATACAAATGTAATGATCCGAAGATGCACGTGCACCAGAATGTTTATAGCAGCAATGTCCACAATAGCCAAACTATGGAAAGAACCTAGATGTCCATCAACAGATGAACAGATAAAGAAGATATGGTATATATCTACAATAGAATACTATGCAGTCATCAAAAGAAATGAAATCTTGCCATTTGCAACGATGTGGGTGGAACTAGAGGGTATTATGCTGAGTGAAAATAAGTCAATTAGAGAAAGACAATTATCATATGATCTCCCTGATATGAGAAATTTGAGAGGCAAATTGGAGGTTTGGGGGAGTAGGGAAGGCATAAATGAAACAAGATGGGATCAGGAGGGAGATAAACCATAAAAGACTCTTAATCTCACAAAACAGACTGAGGGTTGCTAGGGGGAGGGGGGTAGGGAGACGGTGATTGGGTTATGGACATTGGGGAAGGTATGTGCTATGATGAGTGCTGTGAAGTGTATAGGCTGGCAATTCACAGACCTGTACCCCTGGGGCTTATAATACATTATATGTTAATACATGATATGTTAATAAAAAAATTTAAAAAATTAAAACAATAAAGAGTATCTCTGGTTGTGAACTAGAAATAGTTAATTAAAGAAAACAATTGTATTATACATATCAACATACACACCTATGAACATGCCAACAGCAAATTTTAAAACAAAATACCTTTAAAAAAGAAAATAAAGGAAAAACCATGGTAACTTTGCTCCAAAGAAAATAAACAAACTAACTAGACATAAAATTAATACGGCATGTGCAGGATCTGCACACTCAAAATTACAAAATGCTGATGAAAGAAATTTTTAGAAAAATTCCTGCAAATACTTTCATAAATATAAAGAAGGTTATTCTAAAATTTACATGGAAAAAATACCAGTCTTAGAATAGCTAACCAATCTTGACAAAAACTATAAATTGCAAGAAATTACCCAATATTAAGGCTTACTAAATAGCTGCAGTAATAAAAAACAGTGTGGAACTAATAAACAGGTAGATAAACCAGTGGTTAATAATAAAGTATCCAGAAATAATGCCACACAAATATGCCCAACAAATTTTTGACCAAAATGCAAAAGCAATTTAATGAAGGAAAAGAATCTTTTCAATATTTAAACACAAATTAAATCAAAATGTATCATAATTTAAATGTAAAATGTAAGGCTCTAAAACCTTTAGCAAAAACCATATGAGGGGGCGCCTGGGTGGCTCAGTGGGTTAAGCCTCTGCCTTCGGCTCAGGTCATGATCTCAGGGTCCTGGGATCAAGCCCCGCATTGGGCTCCCTGCTCAGCAGGGAGCCTGCTTCCTCCTCTCTCTCTGCCTGCCTCTCTGCCTACTTGTGATCTCTGTCTGTCAAATAAATAAATAAAATCTTTAAAAAAAAAAAAACAAAAAAAACCCATATGAGGATGTAAATCAAACCATAAACTTACACACAGGTGTATGTCAATTACTTCTCAATAAATCTAGGGAAAAAAATCTTTCCTCTTTAACCTATCAATTTTATGTCTAGTAATTTGTTCAGAGGAAATAAGGGGAAAATCTGCATTTATATTTAACTATTTATATTAGCAAATTATTTTAAAACTTTCTAAATACACAGTAGGTAAGTTGCCAAATAAAATTTATTTCATCCATTCATAGAAAAAAAAAAGTGGGTATATTTTCAGGACTAGGGCTATTCAAAGAATTTTTATACTTGACACCAAAAGTATGATTCCTAAAAGGAAAAACTTGATGAACTGAATCTCATCAAAATTTAAAACTTTTGCAGGGCACCTGGGTCTCTCAGTTGGTTAAGTGTCTGCCTTCAGTTCAGGTTATGACCCCAGAGTTCTGGGATTGAACCCCATATCAGACTCCCTGCAGGGAGTCTGCTTCTCCTTCTCTCTCTGCTGCTCTCTTTCTCTCTCAAATAACTAAATAAAATCTTAAAAAAATGTAAAACTTTTGCTCTGTGAGAGGCCATGTGAAAAAGATAAAAATATAAGACTGGAAGAAAATATTTGCAAAACACATATCCAGCAAAAGGCCAGTATCTGGAATATATGAAGAACTCTCAAAACTCAAAACTTAAAATTTTAAACAAAATTTTAAAAATAAGCAAAAGACATGAATAGATATTTCACCATAGAGGAAAATGCAGATGGAAAATAAACATGTAAAAAGATGTTGAATGTCACCAGCCATCGGGCAAATGCAACCAAGAAAACCACATGAAATATCATTATGCATCTATCAGAATAGCTAAAATTAAAAATAGTGGGTGGGGTGCCTGGTTGGCTCAGTCAGTAGAGCATGTGAGTCTTGATCTCAGAGTTGCAAATTTGAGCCCCTTGTTGGGTGTAGAGATTACTTAAAATAATATCTTAAAAAATAAAAAATACTTTGTGTGGAACAATGATAGACCTATTCTCAGGTTGGCTTAATCAACCTCTTTGATGAAAAATAATCAAAGAACCCAAACTTTTACCAAATTCCATGGCAGTTTTGATGTCAAAGCTGCTATAGTAAATAAACTGGGCATTCTTGATACTTGAATATGGAATATGTTCACAGGGAAAGGAAATAAACATTGCACTTTATAAGCAAATGCAATGCCTTAAATAAAACTGTATTTAAGATCAGCATCAAAAATTAAATACATACATACATACAGGTTAGTGGCAACATCAAATGCTGTCAAGGAAGCAGAGAAACACTCATCATGCATTGCTAGGAGAATGTAAAATGGTACAGCCATTCTGGAAAATTCTGGCAGTTTCTTTAAAAACTAAACATGGAATTAACATAAAACCTAGCAATTGGAATCTTCGGCATTTATCCCAGAGAAAAGAAATTTTATGCTCAGACACATGAATGTTCATAGCACCTTTAGTTGTAATAGCCAGAAACTGGAATTAGCCCAGAAGTTCAACACATGAATGGTTAAACAACTGTGCTACATTCATACCATGCAATTCTACTCAGCAATAAAAAGGAACAAACTAGTAATACATATGTGGATGAATTTGCAGGGAATTATGCTGAATGAAGAAAGCCAATCATAAAGTGTTGCATACTATATGATTCTGTACATATAACATTTTGAAATGATCAAATTTTAGAAATGGAATACAAATTTGTGGTGGCCAGGGGTTAGGAAGGGGAGGGTGAAGAGATGGGGGTGGGGTAGGGAAGTGGGTATGGTTATAAAAGGGCAACATGAGAGACTTTGTGGTGTTGGAATTGTTCAGTATTTTGACCATGGTTTTGGATACAGGAACTTATACAGATGATAAAGATATATGTAATTTAATGCATACTGCACACATACACACATGCACACAAGTAAAACTAGGGAAACCTGAATAAGACTGATAGATTGTATCAATGTCCCTATCCTGGTTGTGATATTATACTATTATTTTGCAAACTATTACTACTACTGAAGCAAACTGAGCAAAAAGTTCAAGGGATCTCCCTGCATTATTTTTTTACAACTACACAAGAATCTAGAATTATCTCAATAAAAATGTATATTAGAAAATCAATTGGCAAACAGTAGACCTAAATTCAACTTTATTAATAATTATGTTAAATATACATGGATTAAACATTTCAGTTAAAAGGCAGATATTTTCAAAATGGATCACAAGAATCATGGCCTAGCTATATGCTGTCTATAAAATATACACTTTAAATACAAGGATATGAGGGTGTCTGGGTGGTGCAGTCAGTTAAGCATCCAAATCTTGGTTTCAGCTCAGGCCCTGATCTCAGGGTCATGAGATCAAGCCCCACACTGGGCTCCACACTCAGTGCAGGGTCTGCTTGAGTTTCCCGCTCTCTCTCTCCCTTTGCCCCTCCTGCTCGTGCTCTCTCTCTTTCTCTCTAAAAATAAATAAACCTTTAAAAAATAAGTACAAGGATGTCATAGTTTGAGATTTTTTAAAAAGGAAAACAATTTCCCAAGCATAAACATATATTTAAAAGGTGAAATGACATTATAAATATCAGACATAATAGACTTTAAGACAAAGAACATTACCAGAGATACATTTCATAGGATTAAAGCATCACTATTTTAGGACAACATAAGAAAAATAAAATATATGCACCTGATAATAAAGCTTCAAAATACAGGAAACAAAGATTGATAAAATTAAGAGGAGAAATGGGAAAATACATAATCATAGTTCTCTTAGGAATTTATAGAAAAACTATATGTATATGGTTACTATGTATATATTATTTATAGTATTTTATACATGTGGTATGTGTTAAGTTTTTTTTTTTTATGTGTTAAGTTTTAAAGGAACTAGATGATACTGCCAAACATTCTGACCTAATGTGATAAAAAACACATGATTTTCAGGGCAAATACAATGTTCACCAAGACAAATAATATGTTGGGCCATGTGGATACAAAAGTTGGGTATTCATCCTTTCTGATGGAGGCATAATATTCCATTGTATATATGGACCACATCTTCTTTATCCCTTCATCTTTTGAAGGGCATCTCAGCTCTTTCCACAGTTTGGCAATTGTGGACATTGCTGCTATGAACATTGGGGTACATATGGCCCTTCTTTTCACTACATCTGTATCTTTGGGGTAAATAGTAGTATCAACATGGACGAGACTGGAGGAGATTATGATGAATGAAATAAACCATGAGAAAGTCAATTATCATATGGTTTTGCTTACTTGTGGAACATAAGGAATAATATGGAGGACATTAGGAGAAGGAAAGGAAAAATGAATTGGGGGAAATCGGAGGGGGAGATGAACCATGAAAGGCTGTGGACTCTGAGAAACAAATTGAGGGTTTTGGAAGGGAAGGGGTAGGGGGAGGGTGAGTCTGGTGATGGGTATTAAGGAGGGCATGTATTTCATGGAGCACTAGGTGTAGTGCATAAATAATGAATCTTGGAACACTGAAGAAAATAAAATACTATGTTGAACAAGAGCGGTGGGAGTGGGCATCCTTGTCGTGTTCCTGATCCCAACGGGAAGGCTGCAAGCTTTTACCCACTGAGGATGATATTTGCTGTGGGTCTTTCATAGATAGATTTTATGAAGTTCAGGAATGTTCCTCTATCCCTATACTTTGAATCGTTTTAATCAGGAATGGATGCTGGATTTTGTCAAATGCTTTTTCTGCATCAATTGAAAGGACCATGTGGTTCTTCTCTCTTCTCTTATTAATTTGTTCTATCACATTGATTGATTTGCGAATGTTGAACCATCCTTGTAGCCCAGGAATGAATCCCACCTGGTCATGGTGGATAATCTTTTAATGTGCTGTTGGATCCTGTTTGCTAGGATCTTGTTGAGAATCTTAGCATCCATATTCATCAGTGATATTGGTCTGAAATTCTCCTTTTTGGTAGGGTCTTTGCCTGGTTTGGGGATCAAGGTAATGTTGGCTTCATAGAAAGAGTCTGGAAATTTTCCTTCTGCTTCAATTTTTTGAAACAGCTTCAGGAGAATAGGTGTTATTTCTTTTTTGAAAGTTTGGTAGAATTGCCCAGGGAATCCATCAGGTCCTGGGCTCTTGTTTTTTGGGAGGTTTTTGATCACTGCTTCAATCTTGTTACTAGATATCAGTCTATTCAAGTTGTCAATTTCTTCCTGGTTCAATTTTGGGAGTTTATAGTTTTCCAGGAATGCATCCATTTCATCTAGGTTGCTTAGCTTATTGGCATAAACTGTTGATAATAACTTCTGATGATTGTTTCTACTTCCTTGGTGCTTGGAAAACTGGACAGCTATATGTAGAAAAATGAAACTCGACCATTCTCTTACACCGTACACAAAGATAAACTCAAAATGGATAAAAGACCTCAATGTGAGACAGGAATCCATCAGAATCCTAGAGGACAATATAGGCAGTAACCTCTTCAATATCAGCCACAACAACTTCTTTCAGGATATGTCTCCAAAGGCAAAGGAAACAAAAGTGAAAATGAACTTTTGGGACTTCATCAAAATCAAAAGCTTCTGCAGAGCAAAGGAAACAGTCAACAAAACAAAGAGGCAACCCACGGAATGGGAGAAGATACTCACAAATGACAATACAGACAAAAGACTGATATCCAGTATCTATAAAGAACTCCTCAAACTGAACCACACAAAACAGAAAATCATGTCAAAAATTGGGCAGAAGACATGAACAGACACTTCTCCAAAGAAGACATACAAATGGCTATCAGACACGTGAAGAAATGTTCATCATCATTAGCCATCAGGGAAATTCAAATCAAACCCACATTGAGATACCACCATATACCAGTTAGAATGGCCAAAATTAACAGGACAGGAAACTGCTAAAGTTGGAGAGGATGTGGAGACAGGGGAACCCTCTTATTCTGTTGGTGGGAATGCAAGTTGGTGCAACCACTTTGGAAAACAGTGTGGAGATTCCTCAAGAAATTAAAAATAGAGCTTCCCTATGACCCTGCAAAGGCACTACTGGGTATTTACCCCAAAGATACAGATGGAGTGAAAAGAAGGGCCATCTGTACCCCAATGTTCATAGCAGTAATGGCCACGGTCGCCAAACTGTGGAAAGAACCAAGATGCCCCCTTCAGCGGACAAATGGATAAGGAAGATGTGGTCCATATACACTATGGAGTATTATGCCTCCATCAGAAAGGATGAATATCCAACTTTTGTAGCAACATGGATGGGACTGGAAGAGATTATGCTGAGTGAAATAAGTCAAGTAGAGAGAGTCAATTATAATATGGTTTCACTGATTTGTGGAGCATAACAAATAGCATGGAGGACAAGGGGAGTTAGAGAGGAGAAGAGAGTTGAGGGAAATTGGAAGGGGAGATGAATCATGAGAGACTATGGACTCTGAAAAACAATCTGAGGTTTTTGAAGGGGTGGGGGATGAGAGGTTGGGGGAACCAGGTGGTGGGTATTGGAGAGGGCATGGATTGCATGGAGCAGTGGGTGTGGTGCAAAAACAATGAATACTGTTACGCTGGAAATAAATTTAAAAAATAAAATAAAATTAAGATGTTAAAAAAATACATTGGGCCATAAAAAAGTCTCCATAAAATTTTGAAATTCTGAAATCTTACAAAAAATTCTCTAACCAAAATTAGAGATAACTAACAATAAGATATCTAGAAAGCCATACTATCTCCAAATTAAATAATCCATCTCAAAATTACCCAAATGTCCAAGAAGAAATCACACAGAAAAATAAAAACTGGATCACAATGAATAATAATGAAAACATAGCACATCACAATTTGTAGAGTGCACCTAGAGCCCATGCTTAGAAGGAAATCTATAGCCTTAGGTGCTTAAATTTAAAAGGTCAAAAATCAATTATCTGAACTTACACCTTAAAAAGCTCTACAAAGATTATGAGTTTGGGATAAGATGGACTTAGCACCTGTACCCTGCCTCTCTCACTGAATGTGGCTAAAAAACCCAGAGAGAAAATGTGGAGCAGCTATTTGAAGACTCTGAAAACAGTAGTGAGCATATTGGGGAAGAAATACAAGAATGCAAAGTACAACTGAAATGATGGTGAGTTGATTAAAATTTTTTCTCTTCCTGTATCCCCTGACCTAATCTCAACACCTTCTCAAAACTCTGAAGTGAGCATGGGGGTGCAGGAAAGGAGAGCTCCAAGAGAATCACTCAAGTTCTGGCTCAAAGAGTGGAAAAAGAAACTTCTAATACTCAGAGTGAGCATAGATAGTCCTGGTTTAGTCTCAGGATGGTGGGTAAAATCTCAACACTTTCTCACTTGCTATCTATCTATGATCTGTCTATCATCTCTTTTCCTCTTCATGTAGCTTGGTCTTGAATATTGGTGTAGTTACAGAAGCATGTGGCAAAGTGGGGTAACTAAAGCTCCAGCTGGCTACCCAGAGAACCAAAAAGGAGTGCCCCAAATTGCAAAGAAGGAGAAGCTCAAGAAAGAAATGACATAAAGTTGTTTTGAACCCTTGGGTTCCCCCTCTAGCTAAACATGTGTGAATCCAATCCTAATCAGTATATCAAAGACTTTGAGGATTAGACAAACACATAGACTTATAGCCAGGTCCCGGACTAGCCTTGAGGTGGCACATATGGGGGAAAGAGTAAAACAGCACCAAGAATGGTTTGAAAGGTGAACTGACATTGGAACAACAGTCCACAGGAAGCCTGAACTTGAAACCTGATGTTAACCAGGTTGATTTTGCTGCTAAAACAATAATATCAACATTGGTATAGGATTTAAATAAGACTCAAACACTCATATTCTAATATTCAAACTTTCCGAAACACTATCCAAAAATTACTCACTGTACAAAGAAACAGGAAAATCTCAACTCTGATGGTAAAAGACAATCAACAGCTGCCAACATCAAGATAGCACAAATACCGGAATTATCCAACAGACTTAAAAGTAACTCGTATAAAAATTCTCCAACAAGCATTGTAAACACTCTTGAAACAAATGGAAAAATTAAAAATTTCAGCAAAGATATTTTGATCTGAAAAACACAAATAATTAAAATGAAAAAATCAATGTCTGGGCTTGATAACCGAATGGAGATGACAAAGGAAAGAAGGAATTTGAGAATGTATCAACAGAAATTATCTAATCCAAACAATAGGAGGAAATAATTTTTTAAAGCAATAAACAGAGCTCAGAGACCCTGTAGGACAGAACCAGAATGTGTAATACATGATACATGCTGGAACACACTAGAAGAGCAAAAATTCAAAATATTGACAGAAAAATATTATAAAGGACAGGGAGCTAGGACAGATCTCTCATATATGGCTAATGCAGATATAAAATAGTTCATCTACTTTGGAAGAAGTGCTGGCAGTTTCTTATAAATTAAAAAAAGAAAGAACACCTGCCTAAAACTATTATATGACCCACTAATTCCAGTTCTGAGTATTTATCCAACAGAAATAAAATCAAATGTCCAATCAAAGAGCTGTCACTGGCAACTTTATCCCTAATAACCAAAACCCAAAACAACACAAAGGGACATCAGTATGAGAATGGGTTTTAAAAATTGTGGTATATTCATATAGTGGAATACCAACCAACAATATAAAAGCATGCCACCGATACAAACAACATAGATAAATATCACAGTTACTATAGTAAGCAAAAGAAGCCAGAAACAAAAATTTTCTCATTATATTAGCCCATGTATATGAAGTTTTAAAACAGAAAAAGCCAATGATGAAAAAAATCAGGACAGGGGTTTGCCTCTGGGTTAGGGGTGGGAATTAACTGGGAGATGGTAGGAGGGAAATTTCTTGATAGGGATGTAGGTCACACAAATATATCCATCTGTCAAAACTACACAGCTTGTATTTATTTCAATAACGGTAATGGTTTATTTTACAAATAAGAACTATTTTTTTGAAATTACTAAATAAGACATGAAATCAGAAGAAACCCTGCATTGTGAGGCAGAAGAATATCAAAGGTAGATAGAAGAGTACCTGTAAAGCCTGACTGTAGCAAGATGTTTGTTGTGTTTGAGAAGGTGGTAAGTCAGTGGGGGGGATGGAATAGAGCTGATAGGAAAAGAATGGAATGAAAACACCTTTGACGTGGACACAGTGCACATCGCCTCAGGCTGGTTTAGCCAGAATAAGGAGTGTTCCTTTTCTCTAAAGCATAATGGGAAGCACTGGAAGTTTAAACAGGGAAACACCATGGTCCAGTGTGTGTTTTTTAAAAGACTACCCTCAGCAATTCGGGGTCTCTTCTGATTCCATACAAATTTTAGGATTGTTTACTCCAGGCTTTGAAAAATGTTGGTGGAATTTTGATCGGGATGGCATTGAAAGTATAGATTACTCTAGGCAGTATAGACATTTTAACAATGTTTATTTCTCCAATCCATGAGCATGGAATGGTCTTCCATCTTTTTATGTCTTCTTCAGTTTCTTTCATGAGTGTTCTGTAGTTCCTCAAGTACAGATCTTTTACCTCTTTGGTTAGGTTTATTCCCAGGTATCTTATGGTTCTTGGTGCTATAGTAAATGGAATCAATTGTCTAATTTCCCTTTCTGTATTTTCATTGTTGGTGTATAAGAAAGCAACTGATTTCTGTACGTTGATTTTGTATGCTGCCACATTACTGAATTGCTGAATGAGTTCTAGTAGTTTGGGAGTGGAGTTGTTTAGGTTTTCCATATGGAGTATCATGTCATCTGTGAAGAGAGAGAGAGTTTGAATTCTTCATTGCCAATTTAAATACGTTTTATTTCTCTTTGTTGTCTGATTGCTGTCGCTAGGACTTCTAACACTATATTGTACAAGATTCATGAGAGTGGACATCCCTGTCATGCTCCTGATCTCAAAGGGAAGCCTGTCAGCTTTTTCCCATTGAGGATAATATTCGCTGTGGGTTTTTCATAGATAGATCTTATGAAGTTGAGGAATGTTCCCTCTATCCCTATACTTTGGAGCATCTTAATCAGGAATGGATGCTGGATTTTGTCAAATGCTTTGTCTGCATCAATTGAGAGGACCATGTGGTTCCTCTCTCTTCTCTTATTGATTTGTTCTATCACAATGATTGACTTGCAAATGTTGAACCACTCTTGTGACCCAGGGATAAATTCCACCTGGTCATGGTGGATAATCTTTTTAATGTACTGTTGGATCCTATTAGCTAGGATCTTGTTGAGAATCTTAGAGAGCCCAGATATGGACCCTCAGCTCTATGGTCAAATAATCTTCAACAAAGCAGGAAAAAATATACAGTTGAAAAAAGACAGTCTCTTCAATAAATGGTGCTGGGAAAATTGGGCAGCTATGTGTAGAAGAATGAAATTCGACCATTCTCTTACCCCATACACAAAGATAAACTCAAAATGGATAAAAGACCTCAATGTGAGGCAGGAATCCATCAGAATCCTAGAGGAGAACATAGGCAGTAACCTCTTCGACATTGGCCACAGCAACTTCTTTCAAGATATGTCTCCAAAGGCAAAGGAAACAAAAGCAGAAATGAATTTTGGGGACTTCACCAAGATCAAAACCTTCTGCACAGCAAAGGAAACAGTCAACAAAACAAAGAGGCAACCCACGGAATTCCCAGACAAAGGACTGATATCTGGGATCCATAAAGAACTCCTCAAATTGAACACATACAAAACAGATAATCATGTCAAAAAATAGGCAGAAGACATGAACAGACACTTCTCCAAAGAAGACATACAAATGGCTAACAGACACATGAAAAAATGTTCATCATCATCATTTAGCCATCAGGGAGATTCAAGTCAAAACCACATTGAGATATCACCTTACACCAGTTAGAATGGCCAAAATTAACAAGGCAGTAAACAACATGTGTTGGAGAGGATGTGGAGAAAGGGGAACCCTCTTACACTGTTGGTGGGAATGCAAGTTGGTGCAGCCACTTTGGAGAACAGTGTGGAGATTCCTTAAGAAATTAAAAATAGAGCTTCCCAATGACCCTGCAATTGCACTACTGGGTATTTATCCCAAAGATACAGATGGAGTGAAAAGAAGGGCCGTCTGTACCCCAATGTTCATAGCAGCAATGGCCACAGTCGCCAAACTGTGGAAAGAGCCAAGGTGCCCTTCAACAGACGAATGGATAAGGAAGATGTGGTCCATATATACTATGGAGTATTATGCCTCCATTAGAAAGGACAAATACCCAAATTTTGTATCAGCATGGACAGGACTGGAAGAGATTATGCTGAGTGAAATAAGTCAAGCAGAGAGAGTCAATTATCACATGGTTTTGCTTATTTGTGGAGCATAAGGAATGACATGGAGGACATGGGGAGATGGAGTGGAGAAGGTAGTTGGGGGAAATTGGAGGGGGAGATGAAGCATGAGAGACTATGGACTCTGAAAAACAATCTGAGGGTTTTGGAGGGGCAAGGGTGGGAGGTTGGGTGAGCCTGGTTGTGGGTATTATGGAGGGCACGTATTGCATGGAGCACTGGGTGTGGTGCATAAACAATGACTTCTGGAACACTGAAAAGAAAAAAAAAAAGACTATACTCACTGTTGGGTGGAGAATAAATCAAAGAAGCTGAGAGCCAAACCAGGGACACCAGTTGCAGTTGTCTGTTTAAGAAATTTGAAAGTCACTGGACTAAAAGGCAGCCATAGCAGAGAAGTAAAGTCCATTGTTTCCAGCTGTGTTTAGGAGATGGAAAGAATTGGACTTAATAATGGATTGGTTGTGGGAGAAAGAATGGAAAGAGAGGGAGGAGCAAGGCCAGCATCCAGGTTTCCCACTGAGAGATTGAGAAGAAGATGGCAGCATTTGCAGAGGTAGGTAAAACTAGGCAATATTCAGATGTGGGGACATGTTAATTCCAAGGTTGTCTGCTATGTATGTATAAGGTTATGCTATAGGGGGGTATGAATTAGGGAGTCACGAGCCTGGGATGCCACTGAAAGCTGTAGAAATGGATGAGAGTGGGAAGAGAAAGCAAAGGTCCCAAGGTGAGTCCTGGAGAGCATAGAGAAGACCACACAAAAGTCGAGTATGCAGCAATTGGATACAGGAGAGGAAATCTGAGAAGTCACCAGAGGGGGGAAACGGAAGAGAGTGATGTCATGGAAAGTGTGCTGAGAAGGAGGGAATAATCAACTGTGTTAAATGAAGCCAAGAGGTCTAGAGTAAAAAGAAGCATTTAAGTGTGGGATTTAATAACAAGGAGGTTGCTGGTAACCCTGCCCAAATCAATTACACTTGAAGTTGTGGTAGCTATATTGACTACACTGAGTAAAAGAATAACTAACAGGAGTCAAAGCAAATATAAAGTAAATGCAGTCATCTCTTCCTAGAACCTTTGCTATGAAGAAGCCAAGAGAACAGGCACAAGAGGTTTGCAAGAGGGAGAACAGGAAGTAGGCTTCTTAGTGAGTGGAAACTGAGGTACCAGGAAAATCGATAGGCTTGCTGGCCACTAGTGAAGTTCCTCCTAAAGACAGGCTGATCTTCCTGTGGGATTAGTAGGATATTTCTTAGTGTAGGTCTCAGCGAAGAAAGGGGTAAATTAAAAAATGAAACAAAGATAACCTTGTCAGCATGGATGTGTGCTTGGATGCAGGCATGGAGAACAAAATGATTGAGTTCACCTGTAGCTGGAGTTTTTCAGAAGAGTATGTTAAATGAAGAGATGAGCAAGAAGGTGAGGCTCTTTACAAGGGGGTGATTATACCAATGGACCACAAAGTCTCAGTGATAAAATAAGGGAACTGTTGACCAAGGGGAACTATTGGACAAAGGGAAGGTATACATGTGTTGGAGGAGGTGGGAATCAATCACTGAGTTTCCGAATGATCAGTGGGAGCACTTGAGAAAATAATATAGAGATAGGATGTTGTCAGAGGGAAGGGTGCTGGAATTATAATTTTGGAGGTAGCAGTACTATTTTGACTGGATATTTTAGAGTCCAGGAAGAAGACTTGGGCATCAGTTTTGAGGTACAATCAAGTGCCATTGGAGGATGAGAAGGTAGAAAACCCCAAAAGATTACTGTATTAGTTTGCTGGGGCTGCCATCACACAACACTACAGACTGGAAGTCTGGAATTTATTTTCCCCACAGTAATTTATTTTCTTAGAATTCTGGAGATTCTAGAGGTTCGAAGTTCAAGATCAAGGTGTTGGCAGGTTTGGTTTCTTCTAAAGCCTCTTCTTGTCTTGCAGATAGCTGTTTCCTCACTGTGTCCTCATACAATCATCCTCCAGTCTCTGGGTTTATGTGTGTCCTGATCTCCTCTTCTTGTAAGGACACCAAGCATATTAAACCGGGGCCCATCCATATAACTTATTTTACCTTGTTTACCTTGTTAAAGACCCTATCTTGACAAAGATTCTCTCCTTTATCCAAACTCCACTCTTCCAAGCTCTCTTCTCAAAAAGGTCTTTACTTTGGGGCTTCCATGCTCATCTCTGCATTGTCCAATTTTAGTAAGGATACTGCTAAATCACTTTAACCAGAATGCCCCACCATCAATGTCTGATCACCCTTAATATCTAATCTGATTCCTCATCCTCCATCATTCCCAGGTGATGTCTTATTATACTGGCCTGCATCCAGTGAGAATTTCATTATGTCCTTTAGCCAAATCCCACCCTTTATCCTTGTGGTTTCACCTTAGTAACTTCCTATCCACAGACCACCCATTCCCCAGTTCCTTGGCTGTAGAATCTTCATTTGTCCTTCTTGTATTAGGAGTTGAGCCTGAGCTCTCTCCTCTACTACAAAACCCCAGTGTGGCAATCCCTACGCCTAGTGAGATAGTCCTCCTGAAGACAGTCTGCCTTAATTTCTTCAACAAGTGTCAAGAATATATATTTTTTCCATGTTATTCCTTATGTTCCACAAGTAAGTGAAACCATATGACAATTGCCTTTCTCAGCTTCACTTATTTCACTCAGCATAATCTCTATTCCCATACGTGTTGATGAAAAATTTGGATATTCATCTTTTCTGATGGCTGAGTAATATTCCATTGTATATATGGACCACATCTTATTTATCCATTTGTCTGTTGAAGGGTATCTCATCTATTACCACAGTTTGATATTGTAGACACCGCTGCTATGAACATTGGATTACATATGGCCCTTCTTATCACTACATCTGTATCTTTGGGGACAATACCCCGAATTAATTTTTGAGGAATCTCCACACTGTTTTCCAAAGTGGCTGCCCCAACTTGCATTCCCACCAACAGTGTAAGACGGTTCTTCTTTCTCCATTAGGAGAGGGAAAGGAAAAGTGAAGGAGGGAACTGGAGGGGGAAATGAACCATGAGAGACTGTGGACTCCAAGAAAAAAATTGAGGGTTTTAGAGGAGAAGGGAGTGGAGGGATGGGTGAGACTGGCGATGGGTATTAAGGAGGGGATGTATTGCATGGAGCACTGGGTGTTACACATAAACAATCAATCTTGGAGCACTGCATCAAAAACTAATGATGTATTGTGTAGTGACTAACATAACAATATAATAACAACAAAAAAGCGTACACGCGCGCACACACACACACACACACACACAAGAATATGTTTCTTTTTCTTTAAAAATCTCCAAATAAGGGTGCCAGGGTGGCTCAGTCAGTTAAGTGTCTGACTCATGGTTTTGGCTCAAGCCATGATCTCAGTGTTGTGAGATCGATTGATGTTATCAGGTTCTGTGCTCAGTGAGGTATCTACCAGAGATTATTTCCCCATCCCTCTTTCTTCCTCCCTGCTCCTCTCCCTGCTCACATGCTCTCTCTCTCTCTCAAATAAGTAAGTAAGTAAGTAAGTAAATAAATAAATAAATAAATAGTATTTAAAAAATATCTCTACAGTCACATTCTGAGGTACTGGGACTTAGGACTTGGAGAGGAAACACAATTTAGTCCTAACAACAGGGTATTAGGTGAGTCATTTATGTGGACCTTATGCTACATAGTAACTAGGACATAGAGGAACATAAAGAACCAGGTGCTAAGTCCTCAGTGAATGGGGGGGGGCGGTGACCAGGCCAGCACTTTCCGCAGTGTATGTGAGCGTTTGAGGGGAGCAGGTTATGTTTTCATGCATGAGTCTCAAAGGAGAGATGGCTTTTGAAAAGAGGGACAGAAGTGGTCTGGAAGTAGCCAAAGAGTCAAGGAGAATAATCAGGATTTCTTCCCTCATCCTGAGACATTTGGAAATACAAACCTGAAAATACAGTCTCCACCTGAGAGGGCTACATGAGCAGTGACATCCTCAGGCAACAGTCATGTTTTTACAAAGGCAAGGGGTGGACAGGATGTTGGGAGAGGGGGCTGAGAATATAGGGGAGTTAGCCAATCAGAGCAGGAGTCTACATTAGTGGCCTCTGGGTCCCAACCTACAGTGTCCACACGTGTGTGTGTGTGTGTGTGTGTATACATTCCATCTATTTCAAGACCACCAATCAGCCTTTCCCATCTCCAAAGCAATAATTCTTATTGTCTACTGCCTATGTGGGACATTTTCACCACTGCAAATTGGTGGCTGAAAGAACCACACTTACTCAATTGTAACATTGGGCCACCTGTGAAATGACAGCTGACTCCAATTGTACTTTCAAATCCATTTGTCAATTTGTTCCTGGTGAGTAGTCCCCCCCAAGAGCTCACACAGTCAGCTCTCTCTCCATTATTCCAAGGACAGCTTGAAGTTAAAGAATCACATCCTGGGATTTGGTGTCTCCGTTGGCCTCTCCCATCAAAAGGATCCAATTAACGTGCCCAGGGCTGAAATACTTTTTTATTTCATTGATGTAAGGCCAGGTGATTCCTCCCTTCAGATTTGTATATTAATGTTCAAAATAAGAAGTCAGCTGCATGCAGTGGCTTAAACTAATCCTACAAGATACATTTAGCCAAATAAGCATGTGCAAATGCAGAAATTTGAGTTTTGAGCTGGAACATCTGAAGGACAGGATGTGCCTGCACGTTTAGTACATTTTACTCCGTGGAATGAGCCAGGCACTTTACTAAGATGATGCATTGCTGAAAACTGTCTAGAAACAGAAAAATGAACCTGAGCCAGGACAGGCTTGGCTTAAATAGACAGGAATCGAAAATGAGGACCTTAAGGAAATGGGCTGAATTTGAATTATCTTAATCACTAGGAGGAGAAAAAAAAATCAGGTCTTTTTTAAAAAGTAAAAATGGAATATGTGAGAATATATGGGTATCTGGGCATCTCTCTTTAAATAATAATAAAATCGTCATGTAAATAATTCTATTTTCATTCATTCAACCAGAATTTTTAAAAACCATTTTGTCTTCTGTCCTATACTAGGTGCTGGGGATATTGAAAGGCACAATTTCTCTGCCTGAGGATTTCCCAGTCTAGGGGGAAGACAGATAGTTACAGATGGCATGAATTGCCATTTGTCAATGGTTTAGAATAGATCCTGATTTCCAACCTGTACACAGAATCCTGGGGCAGAGATCATTCTGATTTGCAAAGTTTTACTGCACCAGGCATTTTCTAGGGAAAAAAAAATATTTCACACATACATATGCTACTTTAAAGGTGAGTGGATAAAGCTGTGACTAACAAAAAGAAAAGCTTTTCCAAATTCATGAGTTTCTTACTATTATGTAGTTTTTGATCAAAGGATATTAAAAGTATAGCTACATCTGGAAGAACAGGAAATATTTTGAAGTTCAAAGAGAGGCTTCAATTAAGGAAGAGCTAAGAACCAGGGGTCTCGTCACCAGTGTGGGACCTCTGTTTCCAGTGTAATCCCAGCTCAGTGGGAGTGCAACACTAGTTGTTTCCTCTGATTCAAGACTGATCACCCACCTGGGTTCCAGATTCCTTGCCCCTCTCCTTAGGACTCTCACTCTGTTGGTTACCTCTTCAATTTGATATCTTCACTCTCTTCTTACCAGAGCTTTCTCTTACCCATATTCATGCTCAAGTCTCTTTATCTTTACAAGAATACTTTCTATCATATTAGTTCCACAGACATTTATTGGGATTGTGTATAACCTCATCTGGAATATCAGGAAAAGACTCTCTGAGAAGGTAGAAATTAACCTCAGAAAAAAATAAGTAGTCATTAGCCACCAAGCTGAGGAGCGGTGGGCAGGATGGGTATTCCAAACCTTTCATTTTATCTCCTGAAGTGTTTCTCAAAGTCATTTGCTTTTCTCCATTTCCAAAACCAGCTAGTACAAACTGTCATTAACTCTTGCCTGGATATTTTAATATCCTTGTAGCTGATCTAACTGTGGTCAATCTTGCCTCCTGTCTGTTCTCCACACTGCAGCCAGAGTGGTCTTTTCAAAATTTCTGAGGAGAAATCATGGTGCTTGGACTCAAATGCTGGCAGTACAAATAGAGAAAAGTAAACAGAATTGAGATATATTGGGAACTGGAACCAATAGAATTTGGTGATGGATTCAGTGACAGAGAGTGAGGGAAATGGGATTTTCAAAGGTAATTCCTAAGAGTTTGGTTTGAGCAACTGAGTGGGTGCTGGTTTCATTTACTGAGAGCCTATGTAAGAGACAGGTATGGAGGTTCACTGTCCCACCTCTACTGAGTACCTGCTCCTTCCTTTTCTTTTTGGGTTATGAGTTGTTAGGGTAATTGGGGTGTGGAGTGCTTGATTAGCAAACTGAAAGGCATTGTGAAAATCACTCCTTAGAGATGAACTTGAGATATTACTTTGCTAACCCATGATACCAGCATTCATTTCTCTCTGCATACTAACTTCCCCCTGTCTTTCCTTCCTTTCCTATCCAGCCTACATCCCATTTTGTGTCACTTCAACCTCTCTCTTACCAAATACCCTTGCCCCACTGTTTTCCCAATTCAACTTCTGGCAAAACACAACTTGGATGAATCCAATTATTGCCCATCTCTGGTTGCTAAGCACTGCTGGAAATCCACACAGATTGGTGTCACTGTAAATCACTGGTGCTGCTCTGAATTTATGGTCTCCAACTCCAAATAGACCCTCAGTGCTTCCTGGCAATCCTTATCTATTTCCCTTGTCAGCTTTCTCTCATTCTCCACAGTGGCTGTTTCAGATTTTAACCATTTCTTAAACCCTACTTCCCCTTCTCTCTGATCAGATGAAGTCATTCCTACTTCACAGAGAATATACAAGCCTCCAGAATGAACAACTGCCTCATGCTTCTCCCATCAACCTATATTCTTACTTGAGTCTAAAACTATCCTTTCTTATCCCTCTCCAATTACATGTCTCTTCCTGAATCTAAAAGTAATACTTCAGCTGGCTCTCATTCCCTCTTACTTTTTAGGAATCTTCTTTATTTATCCCTACTGTTCCCTATATTGTTCAACCATTCCTTTACCAGCTCCTTCCCAATGGCATTGAAACTTGCTCAGGGCTCCCCTATCTTTAAAAAAAAATTTTTTTTTAAGAATCTATTGTTCTCTCTATTCCTTACTACCAGATTTCTCTTCTTTCTTCTCATTAAAACTTTCTGAAAATATTGTCAACACTGGTTTTGTCTTCAATTCTTATAGCCTGCTCTCTTCACAAACCGTGGAAGTCTTGCTTTCACCATGAACCTACCTTCATCATTGCCACAAACAATCTCCATTTTTAACTCCAATGGTCATCTTCTGATCACTATGTTCCTTGGAGTCTCAGCAGCCTCAATATTGTTCACCACACCTCCCATCTAGAAATCTCCCTTCCCCCTCGGTTTCTATAAGCCACACTTTCCTGGTTTTCCTGTGACCTCTTAGGCTATTGTTGAGTCTTCTTCTTCTTGACCTTGAATGACAGAGTTATGTGCTGGACTTTCCTCTCTTTTTCTTCTGTACCTTAATCTTGGTTGTATTCTGTAGTAGATTATTTGCAAAAAAAAAAAAAAAAAAAAAGGTACCAATTTTCTATCCCTCCTTATATCTATACTCTTTGTTATGTAACTTGCACCTCCTCTGTGAAGAGATAGAGTCTATTTCTCTACTTCTTGAACCTAGACAGGACTTAGCTTATTTGAACAGAACAATATGGACATTAGGAGAAGGAAAGGAACAGTGAATTGGGGGAAATCGGAGGGGGGAGACAAAGCATGAGAGGCTGTGGACTCTGAGAAACAAACTGAGAGTTTTGGAGGGGATGGGAGTGGAGGGTTAAGTTGTGGAGCCTGGTTGTGGTATTAAGGAGGGCACATATTGCATGGAGAAGTGGGTGCAATGCATAAACAATGCATCTTGGAACACTGAAAAAGTAAATAAAAATTAAAAAAAAAAGAATATGACCTTTTGTACCCCAGTGTTCATAGCAGCAATGGCCATAGTCGCCAAACTGTGCAAAGAGCCAAGATGCCCTTCAACAGATGAATGGATATGAAGAAGATATGGTCTGTATACACTATAGAGTATTATGCCTCCATCAGAAAGGATGAATATCCAACTTTTGTATCAACATGGACGGGACTGGAGGAGATTATGCTGAGCGAAATAAGTCAAGCAGAGAAAGTCAATTATCATATGGTTTCACTTACTTGTGGAGCATAAGGAATAACATGGAGGACATTGGGAGAAGGAGAGGAGAAGGGAGTTGGTGGAAATTGGAGGGGGAGATGAAGCATGAGAGACTGTGGACTCTGAGAAATAAACTGATTGTTTTGGAGAGGAGGAGGGTGGGGGGTTGGGTGAGCCTGGTGGTGGGTATTAAGGAGGATACGTATTGCATGGAGCATTGGGTATGGTGGGTAAACAATGAATCTTGGGACATTGAAAAAATAAAATTAAATTCAAAAAAAGAGAAAATGGCAAACCAATACTGTGCTGCTTCCAAGCCTGGGTCTCACTTCCATGTGAGCAGACGTGGGCTGTCTTCCTGGACAATGAGAGTCCCATGACCCAGTCTCCTCAGCCAATAACCAGACAAGCAGCTGGTGAGTAAAGCCATCTGACACCAGTCAGCCTCAGCCATTCTGCCAGCTGACCATAGACACATGAAAAAGCCCATCTAAGATCAGCTGAGCCTGGCCCAGATCACAGAGTTTATAAACTCATGAACAGTTTCACATGGTTGTTTTAACATACTATAAACTTTGGGGTGATTTGCTATGTAGCAAAAGCTAATTGATATGGTTTCACTCCCTTTTATGCCTCAGTGGTCATCTTTATGTTGGTAATTTCCTAGACTATGTCTCTAACACAGATCTACCTTCCTAAGTCCAAATTCACATTTATACTTACCTAATAATAAGAGCATTTATCCAGCCATATATATATATACATATAACCAAACCTTTCATTTTATCTCCTAAAGTGTCTCTCAAAGCCATTTGCTTTTCTCCATTTCCAAAACCAGCTAGTACAAACTGTCATTAACTCTTGCCTGGATATTTTAATGTCCTTGTAGCTGATCTAACTGTGGTCACTCTTGCCTCCTGTCTGTTCTCCACACTGCAGCCAGAATGGTCTTTTCAAAATTTATAAAATTTATATTTCAATATTTATATAGTGGTGGGTATATATATATATATATACACACACATATATATATATATATATTTGTATATGGGCCCGGATATAATGCAATGCTGCACACATTTCTCTTCATCTTCTCAACCCACCATGTGGTGGATTTTGCTCATTACTTCATCTTACAGAAGAAAAAAATGGAAGCAAAGGGAAATTAATAGCATGTGCATGATCTTACAGCATAAATTGGTAGGTCTAGAATTTGCACAGAGGTCTGTAATATTCCAAAACTGATAATTGCCACCACTATATTGCCTTCCCCACTACTTGCATTCCAAGGACTTACAAACATTCTCATATCTCTCACTTTACGCATGTCGACTGTTCTTCCGTAGGTGTTTTATCCTTCTGCTGTTCCTGCTTTACCCTTATGCTCTTATTGGCTAACTTCTCTGGCATGAATGGATCAGGTGACTCCTTTCTCAGCCAACATAGCACCCTCTGCATACCTCTACCTGCTCTCATGGTGTCATATTGAAGTTGTGTCTCTCTTCCTAGATTGTGAAACCGTTGAGGACAGGGATTCTTGCCCTAGGAAGGGATCCAGTGGGCATCAGATTTATTTCACCCAGCCAGGCACCACGGTCCAATATATTCTAAAAGAATAGTTGTTCAGATATCACCTTGGCACAGCCCAGAGTCAGATAAGTAGAACTAGAATACCAAAAACAGCTCCAAATGCCAGCTATTCATATAGAAATGGAAATTGCAGTCCATTTGACAATTTCTGAGACAGTGGGTCTTAGAATGAACTTTTCACAGTCAGAGAATTTGTAAAGCCACTCACCCCAAACTCTAATACATGGCTTGAAGACAAACTGCAAGAAGATTATAAAGTTCTTGTTCTTCTTTCTTCCATCAATAGACACTTTCCCATGAAAGCACACTCTAGAAGGTGCTGGAAATGAGTGATTTAAGGAATGGAACAAGTCACGCTGGTCATATCTCAGGCAATGCAAGATTCAAATGGCTCCAAAAGGGCACTTTGCTTTTGACAATAAGAGCAAACACTCCATGCTCATGGATTGGAAGAATAAACATTGTTGAAATGTCTATACTGCCCAGAGCAATCTATACTTTCAATGCCATCCTGATCAAAAGTCCACCAGCATTTTTCAAAGTGCTGGAACAAACAACCCTAAAATTTGTATAGAACCAGAAAACACCCTGAAATACTAAGGAAATGTTAAAAAAGAAAAACAAAGCAGTGGTCATCATGTTGCCTGATTTCAAGCTTTATTACAAAGCTGTGATCACCAGGACAGCATGATATTGACACAAAAACAGACACACAGACCACGGGAAGAAAGTAGAGAGCCCAGATATGGACCCTCAATTCTATGGTCAAATAATCTTCAACAAAGCAGAAAAAAAATATCCAGTGGAGAAAAGATAGTCTGTTCAATAAGTGGTGCTGGGAAAATTGGACAGCTATGTGTAGAAGAATGAAACTCGACCATTCTCTTACACCGTACACAAAAATAAACTCAAAATGGATAAAAGACCTCAATGTGAGGCAGGAATCAATCAGAATCCTAGAGGAGAGCATAGGCAGTAACCTCTTTGATATCGGCCACAGCAACTTCTTTGAAGATATGTCTCCAAAGGCAAAGGAAACAAAAGGAAAATGAACTTTTGGGACTTCATCAAAATCAAAAGCTTCTGCACAGAAAGGAAACAGTCAACAAAACAAAGAGGCAACCCACGGAATGGGAGAAGATATTTGCAAATGACAGTACAGACAAAAGGTTGATATCCAGGATCTATAAAGAACTCCTCAAACTCAACACACACAAAACAGATAATCATATCAAAAAATGGGCAGAAGATATGAACAGACACTTCTCCAATGAAGACCTACAAATGGCTATCAGACACAGGAAAAAATGTTCATCATCACTAGCCATCAGGGAGATTCAAATTAAAACCACATTGAGATATCACCTTACACCAGTTAGAATGGCCAAAATTAGCAAGACAGAAAACAACGCGTGTTGGAGAGGATGTGGAGAAAGGGGAACCCTCTTATTCTGTTGGTGGGAATGCAAGTTGGTGCAGCCACTTTGGAGAACAGTGTGGAGATTCCTCAAGAAATTAAAAATAGAGCTTCCCTATGACCCTGCAATGGCACTACTGGGTATTTACCCCAAAGATACAGATGGAGTGAAAAGAAGTGCTATCTGTACCCCAATGTTTATGGCAGCAATGGCCACAGTCACCAAATTGTGGAAAGAACCAAGATGCCCTTCAACGGACGAATGGATAAGGAAGATGTGGTCCATATACACTATGGAGTATTATGCCTCCATCAGAAAGGATGAATACCCAACTTTTGTAGCAACATGGATGGGACTGGAAGAGATTATGCTGAGTGAAATAAATCAAGCAGAGAGAGTCAATTATCCTATGGTTTCACTTATTTGTGGAGCATAACAAATAACATGGAGGACAAGGGGAGTTAGAGAGGAGAAAGGAGTTGGGGGAAATTGGAAGGGGAGGTGAACCATGAGAGACTATAGACTCTGAAAAGCAATCTGAGGGGTTTGAAGCGGCGGGGGCTGGGAGGTTGGGGGAACCAGGTGGTAGGTATTAGAGAGGGCACGGATTGCATGGAGCACTGGCTGTGGTGCAAAAACAATGAATACTGTTATGCTGAAAATAAATTAATTAATTAAAAAAAAAGATATGTCTCCAAAGGCGAAGGAAACAAAAGTGAAAATGAACTTTTGGGACTTCATCAAAATCAAAAGCTTCTGCACAGCAAAGGAAACAGTCAACAAAACAAAGAGGCAATCCACGGAATGGAGAAGATACTCACAAATGACAATACAGACAAAAGACTGATATCCAGTATCTATAAAAAACTCCTCAAACTGAACCACACAAAACAGAAAATTATCTCAAAAAATGGGCAGAAGACATGAGCAGACACTTCTCCAAAGAAGACATACAAATGGCTATCAGACACATGAAGAAATGTTCATCATCATTAGCCATCAGGGAAATTCAAATCAAACCCACATTGAGATACCACCATATACCAGTTAGAATGGCCAAAATTAACAGGACAGGAAACTGCAAAAGTTGGAGAGGATGTGGAGAAGGGGGAACCCTCTTATTCTGTTGGTGGGAATGCAAGTTGGTGCAACCACTTTGGAAAACAGTGTAGAGATTCATCAAAAAATTAAAATAGAGCTATCCTATGACCTAGCAATTGCACTACTGAGTATTTACCCCAAAGATACAGATGTAGTGAAAAGAAGGGCTATCTGTACCCCAATGTTCATAGCAGCAATGGCCACAATTGCCAAACTGGGGAAAGAGCAAAGATGCCCTTCAACAGATGAATGGATAAAGAAGATGTGGTCCATATATACAATGGAATATTGTGCCTCTGTCAGAAAGAATGAATATCCAACTTTTGTATCAACATAGATGGGACTGGAGGAGATTATGCTGAGTGAAATAAGTCAAGCAGAGAAAGTCAATTATCATATGGTTTCACTTACTTGTGGAGCATAAGGAATAACATGGAGGACATTGGGAGAAGGAGAGGAGAAGGGAGTTGGGGGAAATCGGAGGGGGAGATGAAGCATGAGAGACTGTGGACTCTGAGAAACAAACTGAGGGTTTTGGAGGGGAGGGGGGTGGGGGGCTGGGTGAGCCTGGTTGTGGCTATTATGGAGAGCACGTATTGCATGGAGCACTGGGTATGGTGGATAAACAATGAATCTTGGAACACTGAAAAAATTAAATTAAGTTAAAAAAAAAAAAAGAGCAAACCCTTTCTAGGGTGACCGGGTCTTCTCCAGAGACTCCTGTCTCAGAAGTTGCTGTCATCAAGCTGGGAGAGAAAATGCCATATAGTATAGGGCCATCAATTCCACTTCAGGCATCTTTGATGTGATGAGACAGTGATGAAAAAAGCTGCTTTCAATAGAGAAGACTCTTTAGAGAACAGAATCCTGGGTTCCAGCAAATGTCTTAAGCAATTAAAAAAAAACTATTTCAGGGACGCCTGGGTGGCTCAGTTGGTTGGACAACTGCCTTCGGCCCAGGACATGATCCCGGAGTCTCAGGATCGAGTCCCGCATCGGGCTCCCAGCTCCACGGGGAGTCTGCTTCTCTCTCTGCCCTTCTCCTCCCTCATGTTCTCTCTCACTGTTTCTCTCTCAAATAAATAAATAAAATCTTTAAAAAAAAACTATTTCAAAGTATGAAGGGTGCAAAAACTTATATGATGATGTAACATGTCTAGAATATATTTTGCAAAGTTTCTCAGAGAAGCAACTACCTT